AGCCCGCCCCCCACACCCCCTGCGGCCCAGCCCGCACGCCGCGTCTGCCTGGGGTGCTGTCCCCGCGTCCGCATCTGTCGGTCCCTGTGGGATCCCGCCACCAGCCGGGTTTGGGGACCACAAAGGGGGCGTCGGTACCCGACCGTGTAGACGCGGCCCGGCCTCGCCATGAAGTCCCGAAGGGACAAGCTGCACATCCCGGCGCTGACCCTCGAGTGAGTGGCTGGGGAAGGGAGAAGCAGGGGGGAGGGCAGGCTGACCACCACCCTTCCCCCGCGTCTCTATGCAAGTCGTTCAGAGTCGCCGCTGCCTCCAGGGAGCTTTCCTGGGTGATCGGTCCGGCCCCGCCCTCGAGGCCTGCTGGAGACCCAGAATCCCGGGCCTTGGGCCCCTTCCCGGTCCGGCCTTCGGGTTGGGCCACCCACAGGGGCCGCGGCCAGGTTCACCGTCCGGGCCTCTTTCTTTGCAGTCTGTCTCCGAGTAGCCAGAGCCCGTCCTTGCTGAGCCCCAGCAGCCCCTGCAGCCCCTGCAGCCCCTCCCTGGGACTGCACCCCTGGAGGTAAGTGACAGCCAGCAGGGTAGGGCTCAGACATGCCCTGGTCCCCCAAAGCCTCGGAGACTCCCCAAACCCAGCTCCCTCCCCCAGGTACTGTGGGCTGCTGACCTCGCCTTCCGGGCCTCAGTTTACCCCGACATAAAATGGCGCGGTGAGCCACACTGGGGTGCTGATGGGGAAATTCCATTTTCAGCCATAGCCAGCAGGTCCCCTGTCCGACAGGTGGCCAAGGTGAGGCCAGAACTTGAGCTGTTGCCCAAGGTCCTGAGACAGGTGCTGGGTTCCCAGCCTGCTCAGAACCCTCCCTGCTGAATGGGCCTGGCTCCCAGGGTGACCTCAGGGATCCTCCCCACAACCAGCTCGGCTGGCCAGAAAGCTCCTCCCTCTGAATGTACACACACACACACACACACACAGACACACACACACACACACACACAGTTAAGAGTTCACCATTACAGCCCCAACCACTGAACTTAACCAGGTAAAGAGGTGTAGGCAGAAAAAAACCAGCTTGACCGAGCAGCAGCCTGAGTTCCCTCCTCAACCCTTGGAGGGAGGCACCTTCCTGACCTGTTTCCCACTGAGGAAACGTAGGCTCGAGAGGAAACACCAGTTCTCTTGGTCCAGTGTGTGTGGGTGCGAAGCCGCAGGGCCAGCGTGGCCACCAGAGTCTGTCAAGGGTTTGAGCCACCCTCTGTGACTGATGGGGCTCTGGGTCTTGCCCAGGACAGGACGGAATACCAGGGTGATCATGGGCTCCTTGTACAGCTCAGGGTGGGGACCAATGTGAGTGTTGGTGTCTAGAATTTGGTGGCCCATGGGTCCTTTGCACCTTAGCGTGAATGAGCTGCTCAGGCTCCTCCCACAGGCCTTTAAAGGGGAGAAGGGAGAACAATTTGGAAACCATACTGGGTACTGGGCAATAGGCAGACACCTTCATTTAGTCAACAGCATTGGTTAGGCACCCACTGTGTGCCAGGTGCTAAGGGTATAGCTGTGAGCAAAATGAACATAGTCCCTCACTCACAGGGCTCAGGAAGTGGGCAATGAAAGTGAGTGGACAGACAAGATGCATTCAGACAGGGGCCTCTCAGAGGAGGTTATGTTTGAGCTGAGGTGTGGACAGAAGTAGGGAGGAACCACTAGGCCAGCGGTTCTCAACCTGTGAGTTGCGACCCCTTTGGCGGTCGAACGACCCTTTCACAGGGGTCGCCTAAGACCATCCTGCATATCAGATATTTACATTACGATTCATAACAGTAGCAACATTACAGTTATGAAGTAGCAACGAAAATAATTTTATGGTTGGGTCACAACATGAGGAACTGTATTTAAAGGGCCAGAAGGTTGAGAACCACTATTCTACAGAAAGCCACTGTTCACCTGACAGCAGCAGGCTTTATCCCACTCTGGGCCCTCGCAGCTGCCCTTGGGATTCATGCTGTCCTGTCTCCACCCACACCTTGATCAATCTTGCAGGCGATAAATCTTCCTTCGATTGTCCTCATTTGCGTGCGCCTTTGGTCTCCTTTTGACTGAGACGGGTGCACCACGGGATGGCTGTCTGGGATGCGGGGGGAGGACACCGGTGGGGGACGATCCAGTTCCTAAAATACGGCGTTCCCCTTAGGAGACATTGTCAAGCATCCCGAGCTGCTCTCGGGAAAACAAACGAGGTGGCAGGGCGTGGGGTTGTTGGAGAGGCGCCTGGCGCGCCCGCTCTCTGCACAGCTGTCCTGGCTGTCAGACAAGGTGGCGTCCTCTATGGAAGTTTACACACTGTCACTTAGATGAGAAAAACTGATCCCCAGGGAATCGGCAGCAATCAGTGAGTCATCGCAGATGCCACTACGGGGCGAGACAGCGGTGGGCCCTGGCTGGCCCAAAGCCTCTTCTCCTTTCCTTTGGGGACGTCAGGTAGTGTTGGGAATGTGCTGAATTGTGAGTAGCAAAAATTACTAGTTGCACACTTAATCATTGTGAATACTGATCGAGCGCTGCATGCCAGGCACCGTGTGGTGCCCTCCCT